CTGACTCACCCTGTTTAATAACACAGATAAAACTGAGGGAACAGATGAATTTAGGAAACACCTATATTTGAGAATAAGACATGATCAGACATACTTAAAGTAAGAATTCTTCTCTAATACAGGTCAAATGAAGAGGACAAGAGGATGTGTGTCTAGTTTGTGTGATAAGAGAAAGGTGTGGAGCTACAGGTTGGACACTGCTTTCTCCTCTATAAAAGACCCCCAACAAAAAGACTCCACAAAGAAAACAGAGAGAAGTCACAGATCAGTGCAGAAGCTGGGGAGACTGGAAGACAGGCCTTTTGCCAGAAATACCATATTGTGAACACAAGTCTTCAGCTGAACTTCCCATAGGTCCTTGTTAATTTTCCAGGTAGTATTGGGAAAATTTGGAACAGCTGGGGACAGGGTAGTATTTCTTTTTCAGTTTTATTTTTGTTATGAACTGACTCCACTTTTTGGATCAGATCAAATACTGTCCCACTGAGCCTAGAATTCAGAATTTCCTTATAAAAAATGCTGAATCTACTCATGCACCATCCTGCCACTGTTATGGATATTTGTAACTCACTAGCTGAAATCTGAAATTATCAATACTGTCAGTCTCCTTATCAGTATTACCCTTTCTAGCACAACCCTTGGGAAAATTATTATTTAGTGTACTTCCCTGAGAGAGCTGAGTCAGTGTTGCTGATCAAACAGTTTTTTTACTAAACATTCATCTAAATCAGGACTGTGTCTTCATTTGAGTAATCCTATGCAACCAATTTTCTTAAGTGGACTTATTACTGTAACTAGAAAGCCTCATGTATCATATTTAACTGCTAATAAATGTCTGCTGTCTGCAATTAAAAAAACAAACAAACAAAAACCAACCAACCAACCAACAAAAAAACAACAAAAACCCACAAAGAAAAACAATAAAACCACAAAAAAACAAATAAAAAAACCCACAAAAAACAAACCCAAACCAAAACAAACCAAAAAAAAGCACAAAAAACCCCCAGAAATGAACAGAAGGAGGAGGTATCTGGTAAAAGACACATAAATGCAAAGTTTTTTTTAAAGTTTGTTTAATTAGTAGTTGCTACAGTGAAAATAATATGCCTCCCTTTGCAGTATTTTAATGAAACATTGATTAACAATTATAAGTCTAATTATGTCTATAATTAAAAGAATTTCATGATTAAAACAGGAACTGGTTACTTTATACCTACACTTCCACATAGTCCACCAAAATAATTATATTAAATTGTTCTTTTAGATTGCTGCTTTCTGAAACCTAGCATTCAAATTACCTGGATAGATGCCTCACAAAATGTAATTTAATATCTGTCAAATCATATTAAACTCTTTTAATTAAATTAATTTATTTTTGAGCAACAGATCTGTCCAGTGGTCTGTGGTTAATTATAAATTAAATTTGAAACCTGATCCATATTAAAATACCTTTCTGTCTAAACAGCACCAACAAAACCCTACATGTGTAAGCCCACAGGCACCGGATTCAAGATTTATAAAAAAAAGTTTCAATTGGATTGGGATCAATTGCTTATTTCAATGATCTTGATAAAACACTGCCAGATTACTGCTTTTATTTTGAATCTAAAAACTACTGAAACCCTCTATCTGGACTAGAATTAGTCAAGTGTCATCTCAAAATGTCATCTTAAAAACCAATACGGGGTTCTGGAATTAGACTTATGAAGTTGAATAATTAGGCAGGTAGATGTACATCTACTAGTACTAAGGAGAAAGTGTTTCAACATTTATAATCATTTGTGTTTTCTTGTCCTATCAGAGAAAATCAAAATTTTGAACTTAGTGACTCACAATTTTACCTAAGAAATTCCTCTGGTTTTGTTCACTGTTTCCATAATGCTGAATTTTAGTAGGGTTTGCATTAAAAAGCCCCACAAAGTACATTTCAGCTTCCTTTTGCAGCACTTTCAAAAACTGGCTCTTACTCTTGAGTTACACATTAATGACAGAAAACTGTTTGCTTGCAGGACAAAAGCTGCAAATTTCTAATATTTTAAAATAATATTAAATTTACCTAAATATTAAGTTATCTAAAAACATTAAATTTATCATATATTTATTTCTTCATTTCAATGACTTGATAATTTTATGAGTCAGTCTGTTCATTTGTTATAAAAAGTTGACATATTTTAACTATAGTTGAGAATCATTAAACAACCACAACAACAAAATTATCATAAAATATCCAGATTTTGTGCAACTGTTTATTCTGTATTAAACTGGCCTCTCTTCCCTAGAGGGAGTCAACAAGTCCTCCCAGTTTAGTGTCTAAGGGAAACTTACTTGGCATTCCTTTGAGTCCAGTTGTTTAAATAATACCTAACTTGACTCTCCTCCCCTGGGAACAAGGTATCCTAATTCCTGAATTTCCTTTTGGTTGTTGAGGCCTTTGATCACTGAGGGCTGGTCTTAAAAAGGATGAAAGACTAATTTGTGATTTGTGCCTTGAAACATATGAATGAGCATGGTTACATCCTTCTTAAAGTTTCATGCACTAAATATGCGCTTTTCTCTGTGAGCTCTTATTAAATTACTGTTTACTTACTCTTGACTTGTTCAGAGCTCATAGAGAAGCTAATAGAAATCTCAAAATTGCTCTTGGCATCTTCATTTCAAAATGGATGATCACCAGTAGAGTAACTGAGCTTAGCATTTCTCTTAAAAAATATGCTGCCACTGAAACTAATGAGAATATTGATTGTAATGTGAGAGACTGAAATGGTTAATGGCTTAAACATTGCTAAAATCAACTGAGAAATGTGCACAGCTGCCCATCTGTGCCCACCGAAGCCCAACCCTCCCCAAATGTGGTTACCCACTGGAATTTGGACTGTAGATGGAACTGGGGATAAGAGAAAGGGGATACTGTGGTCTCATCACCCCAAGTGTGGGGAGAACAATGTAACCACAAGTGACAGGGCAAGACTGAGATGCTGGTGGCTCAAACATTCATATTTTAAACATATTTTCTTCTTACAGGGCTGCACATAGAAAGATCCCTTCATGCTGCTGCTGGTTACTATGGTGGAAAAGACAGCCCAAGAGCCTCCTTAGAACAGAAGTGATGCTCCCTTTGTCCATGACTAAAAGCACTGGGACAATATCAGATAAAAAACACTAATACACAAAAACTCAATACAAAAAAAGGGTGTTTTAAAACACCCTTGTAGTTTAGAGGTACTGAACTTTTTTTTTAACATGTGAAGAAAGACTGGGTGAATATGTTTCAGATAGTAATGAGCAGACTTCTCTATGCATTTTAATTTTGGGTTTTAAAATTTCCAAATTATTTCAAAAATATGGTCACTAAGGAAAAATTCATCACTTTGAAAAAGACTTACCAAAGACCAATATAAAGAAGCAATGTTTTACAATTTATAATGTAATTTTCAAAATGAAAATGTGAATAGCATCCACTTTAACTTATGAAACCTGAATTAATTTTCAGAACATCTGCTGTATCAGTAAATTGAGAAGAAGTTTACAAGAAGAAAGAGATGGAGAACCTTACACAAGGACCTATTCTATAAATCTAAAATGTAAAAGCCTTTCCAATATGAGCTACAATGGGAAGCAGATGCACAAAACAACACATATAACTTACAGAGTATCAGACTGCTCCACACTGTGTATATATGTCCAACATTTAAGAATTACTCAGGAATTTATGAAGTTATGTTCTGACAGGATTGGGCAGCTGTTAAATACTTAGCTATGGGATAAATAGCAGGTGTGAGTACCTGGGCTTTACACTAAATTTAAAATTGTGTTTAGATGAATTATTTACAAGTAACATTTGCACTTGCAAAACAGAGAAAAACTCCCATTTATATAGGTGTTCTAAGGAAGAACACAGATTATGAGGCTCCTATGTTGTGTTGGTGAACACCTGGAGCAGACAGGTTAGCTAGATATAAGAATCTCTTTTTTTAATATATGGGATTAATTTTCAAGTGAAATAATATTTCCTAGAAGATTGGAAGAGAGATATATTTAAGAAACATTCTTTTTCAGTACTGGAAAAAACATCACATAGTAAGCCATGAGAAATGCTGACCCCAGATATGATGACAGATCCCAAAAGCATTGGAAGAGTCAGAAAACAAAATAAATAATAAATTATCATTTTCAAGTTGTTGTTTTTTTTCTTCAGCATCTCCCTGTATTTGTTTCATGATCATGCAGCATGACAAAACAAACAGGATTCAAGTGCTACGAAATATTCTTCCTGTAAACTAGCCTGAGGCTATTTCCCTGCCTGTGCTAGCACTCCTGCTAATGATACAATAACAGCTTTAGAATAATCCCCTTTGCCCTCAGAAACACAAACAATCTTGTGTAAACAGAAGAGAAAGGTTCTCAAAATTCTTCCTTAGGCATGAGTCAACATGATTCACACAACTGTCTTGTGTGTAGTGGACATATTATTCAGGCATTGATAAGAGCATCACTTAGCAGCAGCAGCACAGGCCTTGCAGTGAAACAAGGCTTTCCACTGGACAGCAAACAACAAAAGTCAAATTCAGGCTACTTACTATCTAGATTCAGTAAAATATAGATCTATTTAAATTAATTAGTGTGATCAAGTGATGGGATTCTTTGGCTGGTGAAAGAGATGCTGATAGAATTGATCACTTGCAAATATTCAACTGACTATTTACACAAGATAGAGAAAATAATAGAAAAAAATAAACTCCTCAGCTTTTCAAAGGACATAATCTTCTGTTCTTCTTTCTGAAAAAAAATACCAATTACATATTTCACTCCCAGTTCCTTCCCCCTGATACTAGCTTTATACTAGAATAATTTCACAGTCCTTCAGTGTTTAATTCTGGTATAAAGAAACTGTGCCTACGTAAAAAAACAATTTTTAGTTATATTTCACTACTCACAGATAATTCAGAATATTTTTAATACAATATATGGCATAGGACAGCTGTCTAGGACAGTTCAGTTACCTGGGTAATACCTTGCGAGGCCAGTGGCACTACCAAAAACCTGCCACAATAAAGTGGGGTCCTCTTCCCTGTTCCGCTTGAACACATCATCCAGCGCTGCCGTCCAGTTGAGCTCATTCAACACTATTGTTGCTGTCAAAGAAAAAACAAATTTGCTATTATTAAACTATAACAAATAATAACAAATTATAAATAATAACAAATTATTATTAAAGTCACATCCTAATATGGGAAGCAATGGCTACAAAAAGCAAGCTGGAATATTGAGAAAGCAATAAAATTTAATTTAACTAATCCAGAAATTAAATTTTAGGAAACACTCTTCCTTGGGTATTTTCTTTAAATTCCTTACACTGTCTTCCAGTTGCATTATTTGCATGCAATGACTCCTGGTTTATTTGCACAGAAAATATCTTCTACAAATACTTCCTTTCTGAGGTGCAACTCTAATTGCATTTCCCAATCACAGAGAAGACTTTTTACACAAAAATAAATGCAAGCATATAAAGTTGATGCTTGGTGATTATAGTGCACTACAATAAGAACAAGCAGAATGACATCAACAAAAGTAGATATAATATACATGTAACAAAAATGTCCCTTTCAAAATGGATCATATGGGAAAAAGACCCTCATGAGTTATTGCTAGAGTTAAGGTGGGGCTGCATGAGCAGCAGTGCTCATTAGCACACACAAAATAGATTTTAACATTCAGAGATCTGGGCTCTGACAGTAAGAACAGCAAAGTGAATGTTAACATTTATGAGTTGGGTCAACTCCACAATTAACTTAAAATACAAGAAAATTCACATTTCCACTAAATGCTATGTTGCTAGTTACACAGAAACTTACATTCATAAAGTTGTCCTGTACCAATACTTGTTTTAATCAATCAAATGGCTTATATCATGAAGCTGATATGGAATATTTTCCATGTTCTATACCTTCTTGAGAAATACATATACTGGGAAACTTTAAAATTGAACATTAAATTATGAATACTGCTACACTAAAGAATCTATTTACTAGACTCGGTAATCAATGAAATTTTATTGTGATACAAAACACCTTATGATGTAGCTTATGATAAATAATGTTTTTCACCTCAATCAGTTGCATTTCATTAATTCTCCCCATCCCCCAATTTTAGGCAATTTCAAATGCACAGGTATTTTTGAAAAACAAGGGCTTTTTGATGGTTTGGTCACTAATTTTTTCTTTTGTGTTTCATGCTGGGATTTAAAGCAATGTTTCTTAAATTGAAGCACCTAGATAATCAAGCCAGGAGTGTAAAGGAAAGTAGAGGAAAAAAACACCCAAACTTTTGAAAAGACCTAAAGATGCAGGTATAAATCCAATGAAAACTGCCACTTTCCATACAGATCCTGCTTATTTTATGGTATTGCATACAGGAAGGAACAGTCATCTTCTCTTAAAAATGGGCAAGTCAAGCTGAAATAAAACCAGTTCACATTTAAGCGACCTCAGTGGCATAACAGCGCAAAATTTGGAAAGTAGGTCCACATTCTAGCCCCCTGCTACAATGAAAAAAAAAGATAAAAATAAGGATGGATTGAAAGTTAATGGTTTACAGCCCATTTCCAAAGTAAGGCTCTTAAAAGGTACTAGAGAAATGAGATCACAACATTAAATTTTATAGGCCTGTTTTTAAAGGTTAAGGAGAAAATTGCTACACCATGTATTCTGCAGAAAGGTTTATCTGGTTTTTTTTCAGAGTAGTTTTAAGCTATTACTATCTCAAGAGATAGCTTTTTGAAGAAATATCAAATTAAATTTCCAGCTCTTGAGATTTCCTGTGAGCAATAAGATTGTATTATATACCTCTCTTTTTGTCAAGTAGATAATTATAAATAAATATATGTTTACTTAAAGAAGAAAAATTCCCTGAGGCACCATGAGATGTTAATTATAATTTTAAAATGGTTACAGTTCAATTATGCCTTAGATCCCATTTGACCTGCTGTGCAATTATTGTACGGACTTTCTAAACTTGACTTTGCGTCAGATCTTGCTTCCAGAAGTGGCTCCATTACGTCATTAGAAGCTCTGTCACTCAGGTAGACAAGATATTTTCAGCTTTTCTTTTGTTTCATGTTACTGTTTCCTATTCAGGGGGACAGGTACCAATCTCTTCACTCCCGTGACCAGTGGCAGGACTCGAGAGGAAAGCAAGGAGCTGTGTCAGGGGAGGTTCAGGTTTGGTATCGGGGAAGGTTCCTCACCCAGAGGGTGGCTGAGCATTGAACAGGCTCCCCAGGGATGTGATTACAGCACCAAGCCTGACAGAGTTCCAGAAGCATCTGGACTATGCTCTAAAGGCACATGGTGCAGGGTCAGGAGCTGGACTTAATGATCCAGATGGGTCTGCTCCCACTTAGCATATTTCATGATTCTATGATTTTAGTATCACCTATAAATGTATTGCAAAGAGTTACACATGTATTCACACACCTCTGCACATACACAGTCATGTATATGCAAAAATATATGACAAATAAACTCATACAACAAAAAAGGAGACGTTCTACAGATAGTAAAATAACTGAAAACTGAACTGCTGAATCCATATAATAGAACTGATTATTTTAGCACTTTATTAGACTTGTTGAGATTAGGCTATAAAGTAAGTGATAAGAATTACTAGATCTTGTATGTAGTATTTGTGGGGAAGTGATGCTATACAATGAAATTTAAGAGTTTTATGGTATTATTTATGTCCCACTTTACCCTTCCTCCTTCTCCTCTATAACTTTCTCCTGGAGATAAATATGACAGACTAAAGAAATCCAAGAAATTGCAACAAGACATTAAGCTGGAATTAAAAATATAAATAACGTGGAATTCAAGAAAAGCAACAGAGCATCTTAACAGAAGGAAACTACTAAATGTGGGAAAAGGCTACTAACAGCTTGTAATATATCTGTTCTCAAGCACAGAAACAGATATTCCTGCACCCCAGAAATTCACAGTTAAGTGCCCAACTCTCATTTCTGTAATAAACCATAACACATGACAGGTTCAACATTTATCACCTTCTTCTTAATTCACTTTCTCATTATGACAAAAAAAATGTGTTTGGAACAGAAACACAGTTTATTTAGTGGGACTGGTATGCAAATAAATGATTGTATGATCATTAAAACAATCATTCCTGGAGAGAGGTTTGCTATTTGTATTTGCTATTTTATTCAAACTAACTCTGTTCAATAAGTTGTTTGTTTTTTTCTTGGTTTTTTTTTTTTTTGTTTGTTTTGTTTTGTTTTGGGTGTCTGGATTATTTTGTTGTTGTTTTTGTTCTTTGGTTGTTTTTGGGTTTTTTTGTTGGTTTGTTGATTGAGTTTTTTCACTCTATCTAGAGTATACTTGATAGAGAATGCCCCTACATCTGTGTTAACCAATCCAGTTACCAATAAATGAGGAAAAGGATGCTGGGAATTTTAGTTTGAAAAATTTATTTTTCTAAGTGTTTTTCCACAGCTTCTATTAATGCTTTTCTTCTGCTAAAGCATACACCCTGCACTTTAAAACAAGCTGTAAATCAAGTCCTTTTTTTTTTTTATTTTTCCCTTTTTTTTGTTTTTGTTTTTGGAATGCAATATCACTGGTAATAGGTAATTTCAAACCAATACCTCTGAGTTCTGGTTTAAAGCCTACAGCAATGGATTTGAAACTTTCCAAAGAAAAGCAAGCAAACCCAGTCCTAATCAGCAAAAAATCTGTTCTTCAAATGGTTCCTTATAAAATATCCTGATTTTCAATTGGCATATAAAAATCAAAGCCGTGGTGCTTTCTTTAGCTCATAGCAGAGAATATAGCACCTATCAGAACACCCCAATTGGAAAAATACTTTATATTAAACCCCATTATACAGTGAAAATTTATTTTTTGTTTGAAAAAAAAATGCATTTTACTAAAATAAATAGTTTATAGGTGTTACAGTCACACTTCTGTATATCTACTTGTCTTTCTTTAAGTTAACTTACATACAGGAACAAACTTTTGACTGATAATTGGCAGAAAAGCTAGTTGGAGAAAACTCTCCAATAAGCTTATTTTCAATTCTGCTAAAAGAAGTCTTTGAAGATTACTACTTCAGAGTACATCAGCTGCTACCTTTCACATGATACAAGCAAGATGAAAAAATAAAATTCATCATCACACAATATGAAAGATATTCTTTATGGCTAATTCCACTGAACTCCATCCATCTTTTCTTTTTTTCCTGCTTCTTTATGATATGAGGTTTAGGGGCCTTGACAAGGAATGAATTCAATTTTCCCCTGCAAATGCAATAAAAATCAATAAAAAATAGGGAGCACTGCTGTGCCTTCTTTAAAAGGACTGGAATACGCTTCTGATGATTTATTCAATGTAGAGGCTCTGGCCTGCATGCACGACAGAGAACAACTTTATTTGAAAAGCCTGAGAGCTATTTCCTATATCTGAAAATATGTGAGCTACTGTTCCCTGATGTGGCAGCTACACAGACACTGGGGAGAAGAGAAGGGAGCTCCTTAGCAGTTCATTAATTTTCTTTTAATGTCTGGAATTACCATTCCATAGCGTAACACAAAAGACACCCATATTCTAAACTGCAACCCATTGCTGACAACAGCATTTGTGCATCTTACACATTGTTGCCTTGCTTCCTCTCATCTCAAAATATGCCAGGAGGTATTTCAGAATGGAATAATATTCCATGTCAAACACACAGTGTTGTAAGGTTTTTTTCTGGGAAGATGGCAAGAACACAAAATGTGTGAAAGATACTGGTCATTAGAGTGGTTCTAGAAGACTTTTCAGATTTTCTAGGGATATGCACAGTCTAAGAACCTGCTAAATCTTTATTATTATTTTATTATTATAAAAATTATTTATATATTATTAGCTATTAGTTTTGCAGATTACTTCAAAGTAGGGTCTCTATTTGAAAGTAATTCCTCCTTAAAAAAAAACCAAACCAAACCAAACCAAACCAAACCAAACCAAACCCCAAAAATTCAAAACAAACAAACAAAAAAAATGAGAAAAAATACAAAGAGATTAGTATGTTGTATTTTTATGAAAATATAAGGGATTAAATATCAAAAAAAACCACCCACATATTTCAT